ACGTACACTGGACTCATGGAGTTCCAAATGGATGATGACATTCTCTACTGATAAATGCCACGTGGTATCCTACAGATGTGACATCACACCAGGTTCGCTAACTATAGATGGTAAACCATTGTCTCACTGCCACACTATCCGTGACCTAGGGATCCACTACTCGAGCACCCTTAACTTTTCCGAACACGCAGGACACACCGCAGCTCAAGCCCGCCGAAGCATTGGGCTTTTGTTCAAAACATTTAACTTAAAAGAATCCATTAACACCATGTATAGAATAAAAACGCGCCCGCTGTTTGAATATGGCTCCATCACCTACTGTAATTCTAGAGTGAGTGATCGTATGGCACTGGAACGTGTTCAACGATCATTTACTAAGCGTCTTCTAGGCTATTCCACCACCCTATCTTACATGGATCGTTGCGTTGCCTTAAAACTTGACCCACTGTGGCTGCAAAGAATGAAACTTAACCTTTTCATCTTCTTTGATACAATTACCCAAAAAATACACTCTTCACGCCCATCGGTACGACGAGCAGAATTATCAAATTATCGCACCCGAAATAACAATCACAATAAAGTAAAAGTGAAAAGATCACGAACGAAACTGTCTGACAACATTTTCCTAAATCGATACTCCATATTGTGGAACAGGCTTCCATCTGAGATACGTGCAATCCAGTCAGGGATGAAGTTCCGACACGTTATACATTCCTTTCTAAACGTCAAAACAGCGATCGGTATATTGCAACCCACCTTGACAAATGAATCCCCGTACGAAATAGGAGCAAGATGGATGTAGTATCAATATCAGGGGATCTTCTCATTCTCCTGTTGCCCGATCTTACTGCCCTCCCCAAATTTATCAGTAGCAATAACGTGTTTCCTAAAGGCAAAAATATCCTGATTAACAATGAAGTTCACACTCATCATGACGGAAATGTGCCCTAGAGTTCCTCTCGAGCAAATTATTTCGCATTTGTTCTGCAACGCTAATTATTTTCTACTTATCTTTTCCCCTGGACCCCTCCCTTAGGTACGAGCTGTTGTGTTACGTGCTCAGCGAAATCAATGTTGATTTAATCCTTCTGCTTTTGAACTGGATCCATATGATAACACCTTCCGAAAACCTACCATGATCTTCCACGCTCACATTCACTCTGAACAAACCCCCTCAACGAAATCAGCTTCTCCTCTTACCGCACACAGCTGAACAGTTGGAACGACAGTTAACTTACTTTACTTTGCGTACAGTTTTCTCTCCCTCCCTGAAAAATACCAGGCGTACATACAACATTTCTCAGTACCATACAAAATTATTTCGCATCACCAATTTTCCCATTTTGATCTCCGATAACTGCTGGAGCTATCTTACTATTTCCTCCGAAAATTCTTCTCCTTTTCTGTAAAAAGCATGTATATTCCTGAGGTTATCAGTTACCAGTGAAACTTGTACAATCTGAATCGAACAACGTCGGACGAAAATCTAGCATTTCACATTACTGTACGTCCACCCATTTTTATTTGCTTATTTCTCTCCTTCCAGTGTTGGCCAGGATTGGGCCGATCTCCCGAGGCTATGGATAAATGCTTCCAAAAAAATGCAGCACACTCATGCAGTAAGAGTTATCACAAACTCACTGGCACATATTACAAGTGCTTGATTCTAATCAGCCAAATGATGGCTGTGCGATGGGGAGAGCTTAATATGAAACACAGGCCCCCACAGTACAGTGCTGGAATTGAATCAGCTAGAAGATAGCTGTATGATGGGGAGAGACTTTTCATTGAACACAGGCCCCCACAATACAGTGTTGGAAACAAATCAGATAAAAGATGACTATACGATGGGGAGAGCTTAATATATATCACAGGCCCCCACATAACTGTATAAATATAACGCCACAATAGCACATGGCCAAATGAGAGGTGGAAGAGAAGTGCGGAAGCAGGTCTCCGGGAGACGGTTTCATGATGGGTCGTATTACTCCAATTAAACTGACAGTTTATATCTACTTTTATTCTTACTCTCAACTTCTACTACTCTTACTCCTTTACTATTTTTAATTGGTTTAGCACTGAAACATTCCTATGTGAACACAACAGATCACTGAATATCCCTCTCCACTACCCGACTTTGTTGTACCACATGATCAGGCTCGTAGTCTGCCTGTGTCTCGCATGTCGAGAAATATATCATTTATTTATATAATCCTAAAAGAACAGAGGGGTAACAAAGTTTTTCATCATCGTTCATCACCGAGCAAAAAATCGAGGGGAACAGTGGAAATGTAGTATTCGTAACGCACTCAACTAGTCCTCCGGGCTTATGTGGACACATTCCCTAAGTCGAACAGCTCCGGATGTAACGGCGTGCAGATTTTCGAACAGAAACGAACAGCATTAAATGATGATCAACGTCATGTGGGTGCGGTCAAGCAAACCGAGGGCGACCGTCAGGCTATGGAGGGAATCAACGGCAGACTGTTCTCATGTATCATATTGTTTCAGTACTTAACAAGGCGTACAGCCGAATTTAACTTATCCATCGACGAGATCATGTAAACTGCGTTCACTGGACACGAGCTGCAAGGTGTAGAGCTGTTCCCAGATGAACGACTTCTTGACTTGGAGTACTCCGACGACATTGCTCTTATCTTTGACAGCTTTCAAACGTGCCAAGTGACACTGGACAAATTAGCACTGGCTGTCAGAGATTTTGGGCTAGGCTTTGCACTCTAGAAATGTAAAATCCTTCTCCAAGAATGCCAGGTACACAACCTGTGCTGACCATTGGTGGGGAACAGCTGGAAGTTGTTGAGAAATTCAAATATAACTGTAAGGTTTTCGTCCCAGCTACTCACAAGCTACATAGCACGGCCTAGTCCGGAAAAGCACCAGACGCGTTTCGCCCTATTGGGGCTTGTCAGTGATGCGCATTATCTCCGTCCCCTACTGGGGATCGTACCCATGACCACTAGGCAGCTGTATCAACGCCAATGGAACGAAAGATGAGCTCACAAACCGCATAGCAAAAGTTCGCGGCGCTTTTGTCAATCTCCGCCATCTGTGGCGCCAGCGCCATGACTCTCGCCCTGAAGAACAGAGCTTACAATGCAGCCGTTCGTTCAACCCTACTGTATGGTTACGAAACCTGGGCCAGCAGGTCGACAGACATAAACAGGCTAGTCACGTTAGACCATCGCTGCCCTCGAGACTTAGCTGATATCTGGTGGGAACCCCACGTGAGCAATGGACGTGTTCGACGTCGTGTACTTGGTGCAGGAAGAGCGAGTGAACCGCTCAGCACCAGGCTCCGATGGCTGGGCCATGTGGTGCGCATATCAGCATACCGATTCCCGTATCATGTCTTGTTTGCGCGTTCAGGGTCTGGATGAAAGAAGAGGAGGGGAGGCGAAGCGATGAATTGGTTTAGAGGAATGAACTCCCTGACTGCGAACTTGGCGTCGATTGGTGTTTCACGACGACCGGGTTGGGTTCACAAGGACGATGAAAATGTTTAGTTGGATCCACTAGTTAACATGGCAAGGAGCCGACCTCAACGGGCGTTTGAGTTGTGAGTCTCTTTGCCCTCTCCACCCCAAGGAGATTCCCTCTTCCAACGTTGATCTCCCTCTTGATGCATAATACGTTACTAAGTAGTCTGTTGCCTGCGTTGTTAACATGCTATAATATAAAGCACCTTGTTTTTTCATTTGTCTTATCTATATGTACTGCAGCACAATAGTTAAAGTGAGTTTCTCACCTTCAGCTTTTGTGTAATGATGATGGTGATCTAAATCCGAGTTGTACAAACTTTTTGCAAGGAGGGCCATAATCAGTCTGACATTAACATAGTAAGCAAAAATTGCATATAAACCTTTTGCAAATTTTAATGTGAATGGTGAAGCTGAGATCAGGAGATCTTTTGTAATTTTTGGTTTAGTTCTGAGCCTTTAATAGAAATATAGGATTGAACTTTCATAGTTGGTTAATAATAAACAGTACTAAATCATTAAATTTTTCGGTAGCTGCCGTCATCGAATTATGTAAACGTAAAATCCTTACTATTTTTTTAATAAATATAATATCGTCTGTACGGAAAAGTGCAAGACTGTATTTATTATTTCATGATGAAGCCGCAGGCCATTTGAAATATTAACGCGGGCCGCATTTGGCTCGCAGACGGACTTTGAACATCCCTGAACTAAAATGGTTCAGAATTCAGCTAGGTTTTTACCGAGTCGGCGCTGGTGTGAAACAGTATTGTACCGGAGTACGATTCGTGTGAGCAACTTGGGGACCGTGATACGAGGGCTAAGGGGTCGGCGAGCATGTATGACATACATTGGCTATTCTCTAGGATAATGATGATGATGGCTGACATATACCGTTCCGAAAGCACTTCCCTGGTGCATCATGTAGATTTGAGCAGGAAGGTTAAACCGATCACCAGTACATGGCTACTATCCTTCAGCAACGCAAGTGAGATGATTCATGTGACGTTGGTAGCATGGCAGGGTTTCGTCTGACATTCAAGCCGGATATTTTCAAAGTTACTCTTACTGAAACTCCCTTGGATCCGTATTTCTGATGGGTCAGAAAAGTACACGGTCGTCTCCAGTGGCAATAAGTTTCATGCTTGATGAGTAATCCTGGAGGAGTTTGGAGTGATGAATTCAGATATAAGGCAATTGTTATACTGAGAAATACAGTACGTTCGTTGCCGATATAACTACATGTTCGTTGAAAAGGCGGTTTAAATGCGATCTGCTCATATAAAGCAGGTACCGTATCGTGTTATAGTTCATGCTGGTGAAACACAAGCAATCACAGATGAATGATCTTGAATCTTTTTGGGCTATTTTCGGTGGCGTAATATCGCCCCGATCGGACCTTTATTTAGTCCTTATGAATGCAAGCCAGAATCCCTCTTGCAAAACAAGATAGGAATGAACGTACTTGGCGAAAGCAAACAGAAATAGGTGGAGCCAACTCACCAAGCGGCATATTGAAGGAGAGAGTAAAATGGCTTCCATGAAGAAAACGTCTGTGGGGAACTCGTAATGCTTTGCAGCTGCACTTAGCATAGGAACCAAAAGGCACAAGATGACCGAGTCATTTGCCCACAAACATCGTAACATCGAACGCGCCATATCTATTTGGGGGAAAGAAAAACGATAAGATTGGTTCGAGCCATAATGTAAACGTTAGTTTGTGGAAGTTTTATGGTTTTCACCACAAAAAACGCTTATTGGACAGGATATGCACTTATGATGAGCGGACAAGGGCTGAGGATAAGGATAGCGGTTAGTAGTTCCGTCAGGTTACTGCAAAAGCAAGTGCATTGCGTACAAGACGTGGCGTGGTCAGGCCTTCTAGTCGGAAAGGTCAATCTGTGGGTGGGTGCTGCATGTTTGCTTCTGTAAATAATTGGTTCAGTGGCACCTGATATCAACGTTTCACATGTTGGAATCTCGACTGACCTCTAGTGTATATTGTGGCAGGTGCGAACACAGTATTGGAAGACACGAAAACCGGTGGTTTCGTGATTTTATACCTACCAAAATCAAATTTTAGGGAATCATCTAATGAGCATTTCATGCGACAGGACTCTAATGTCTCAGAAGAAAATTCTACAGCAGATTAGGTCAATTTTCAACCGAGGTATATAATGATTTTCTGACAGTAACGTAACAAATGAAACGTCATGCTATCGAACGTCAGTTTAAGCACACGGATGAGGTTTTGCTTCTCCAATTTGAACTCTTGTAGTGTAGCAGTGAAATGAAATATGCTCGAAACTACGTCCAGTGAAGCGCATAAAAGGGGGAAAGTTGTGGCAAGTTTGGAACTAGTGAAATAGCAACTTATTAGCCAAACATTATGGTGTTTCCCATTGTAACATGGTAACAGCTAAAAGCTTCGATGCAATCAAAGAAGAAATCAGCGCGTTAGCGGTTCAACTTCAAACTTCGATCCGAACTAATAAACAGGTCCCCTGCCCATCAGCTGCTTGAATGTAAACTTCTACACGACGTGCTTAAGAACCATCAAAAGGTCAGTCGGCAACTATAGCTTACGTAACGGGAAACACAGATATGGTGATCGATACCACCGGGCAAAATTATTTCGTGCATAAAGAAGTTGAACAAGAAGGGTAAATGCGGGACAACCCAGTCTCACACCACTGGTGATAAGGATTGCGAATGGTCCTCATATACTCGCACGCGGCCTAAGGTTAAAGAGCCAATTGTTTGGAAAATGAAGACAAAATTCTCGGGAACTCCTCTCCTCAGCAAGGAATTCCAGACAGCAGCGTTTTCAACTGAGTCAAAAGTAGCACTTATATCCAGGAAGAATAAGATGGTGGGTCAACTGAAGACACCTCGGAGGTCGAATGTCTGGTGGATCGTAAGGATTTGATCAATACAGCTTCGACCTGAGCGAAACCCAGCATGCTCTTCATATATGCGCTGTTAACGTACGCTGGGTTTTTGTAGGAGCAGGGAAGTGAGCACTTTGGATGAGACACAAAAGAGGCTGATCCCACGAAAATTGGCGTAGTCTGTTGTTTCACTCTTCTTGATGAGGGGCACAATGTCATCTGAACTCCATTCAGACGGGCTGATTTCTGTGTCCAGATTACTTGGAGAAGGAAATTTGGTTCAGAGAGAAGAGACGGGCTCCCATGTTTGCAAACAGCCGGATAATACTACGCTTGAAAAGCAGACTTGTGATACTTAGGAAGACAAAGCTCACAGGAAACTCCAGTTTCGGGTGACGGAGGTGCTTACATACCAGGTAGCATCGTGGATAAGAGAGTGGAAACTTGGTTACATGATGCTATCCGAAAGGAACACGCTTGACCGCTTTCGCACTGTTGCAAATATTTCAATGACTCTCATATGCCTCGTAGCGTCGACCGAGCTAGAGAGCGGCAAAGTATTCCACAAGCTGCAATGGTACTCAGTCAATCAGATCAAAAATCCCCTACTCAACGGCACTTTAACGTATAACTTATCGAACAAATGTGGCTTCACTGGTTCCAATATCCGACACTTGTGGAGCATAAACCGGTTTCATAACAACTTTGCTTCATATTCTATGGCTGACCAACAGGCTACAACAGGTGTATCATCGTCATCAATACACGTTAGCCGATGGTAATAAACACACCTCAGCCACTGTACCGAAATACAAAATAATGGATGAAAAAGTGAGATATAAGACAAAAACAGAATGCAAAACCTAAAAAAACAAGTAATATAATGCTGGGTATCACGTTATCCATAGAGTGTGAGATTGCCTTTGGGACAGGAAGCTAAGCAAGAAGAGGAGGGACAGAGGAACTCACAACACGAACGCCACTGAGGTCGGCTCTTCGTCATGTCAAGAAGCGTATCCAATCAAAGGTGTCCATCGTCCTTCGGACCCCAGCACGGCAGTCGGAAAACACTAACAGATGCCAACTTCGAAGTGAGGGTCCTCACATCGCCCGACCAAATCAATGTTTGACTTCCCCTCCTCTTCCTCCATACATACCCTAATCGCAGCAATAACGCGCATCGCGTGAGTCGGTGTGTTGGTATGCGCGCAACTTGTGATCCAGACATCGGAGCCTGGTGTGTTATATAACTGTGCTGAGCAGCTCACTCGTACTCGCTACACCAAATACGCGACACCAAACACACTGATTGCTCATGCGGTGTTCCCACCAGATATCAGCTAAACTGTGAACGCAGCGATGGTCGAACGCACCTAGCCTCTCTCTGTCTCTCGACTTCGTGCGTCAGTTTTCGCAACCGTATAAGATGGTTAATCGCACGGCTGTATTGTAGACTGTGACCTTCAGAGCGAGAGTGATGTCACGACAGCGCCACAGGTGGAGATTGGTGAAAGCACATCGAGTTTTTGCTAGACGGTTCATGACCTCATTTTCGAATCCACTGGCGCTAATATAGCTGCCCAGGTATTTGAATTCCTGAACGACTTCTAGCTGATCACCACCAAGGGTCAGCGCAGGGGTGGTTCCCAGCAAATCAACGAGGCCTTCGGATTTCGACTGTTGTTGTGTCGCCGCTGACGCCTTCACCCCACGACCGCAAGAAGAAGTCCAAAGACGAGCCAGAAAGAGACTTGTATACATGAAATCACAGTTGCTTATATAGTTTTGAAGGCAAAATGAAGGGAAGCTACTAAATTACACTTGAGCCAACCAACAGAAGGAAAAACGTCAAATGCAACGGGCGAATGAGCAACCGTGTACTCAAGAGCGAATCGCATATGTCCTTAAAATTAGCATCATGGGACTCCAAGCGTAAAGCGAACATCCATTTACAGTGACGGGCACTGGCCAATCAGAATGACGAAATGAAACGTTTAAACAAATGTCACGAAACAGACGAGGATAAGAAATGCAGACCCAAGAATTGAAAACTAGTGCAATAATCGTGAGACAACTAAATATTCCTTTAACATAACCAAGTAGAACAGTGATGAGAAGAAAAAACCAATGGAATGTGTTCTTGAAAATGGCGCTGCTGAAAAGGACATGACGATGAGCGTCCATTAACAATGAGGTGAATGTACCAATCGGGTTAACCCAATAGAGCGTTTACACAACAGTCAAGAAATATGAAAATAAGAAGAGTAAAGAATAGCTATTAAGCTCGATCACAAAAAATGAATGTCTAATAGCTCTTCTCCTAATAACTGTGCAAAGCATAGCCCAAATGACTGACAGCCAGCACTAATCTGTCTAGTGCCGTTTAAAACGTTTGGGAGCTGTCACATATTGGGTAATGTCATCTGCATACTCCAACTAAAGAAGTTGATTAACTGGAAGTAGCTCCACGGATTCTAAGTGGTATCCAGTAAATGCCTTTTTCATGACTGCGTCGATGGTGAAGCTAATGAGAGGTGACAGTGGGCAACCTTGTCTCACACCACTGGGGATGTTGAAGACGACAGTTTGCCATAAACCATAACTCTGTCTGAACTATGCACACACAGCGCTCTTATGACATTTACATACTTATCAGACAAAATTTTCCTAAGCGGACAGCCCCAAAAGCATATCGATCCACCGAATCGAAGGCTCTTTTGATGTCGAGAAACATGACAACGGTGGGTCGCCAATAATTACGGCGGTGCTCAAGCAATTGACGCAATGTGAAGATCTGGTTAACAGCGCTACGATTTCGGTGAAACCTGGCTAGCTCCTCTCGAATCTGGCTTTCACAGGTACCAGTCAATCTAGTCAGAACAACGGAGGCAAGTAACTTAGAGGCAGTGAACAACAGGCTAGTTCCTCTATGATCGCTGCATTCGGAACGTGAGACCCTTTTGGAAATTGGGACTATGACCCAGCGGCTCCACTCTGTTGGGACAGTCTCCTGCTGCTATATCTACACAAGTTGTGCAGATCACGGTGATTTGAAGAAAGCTAGACGGTCTATCTGCTCTTACGGCCTTATTCGATTCCAACAGTCTGACTCTTGCGCGTGGAGGAATAAGGATAATCAATGGCCGACAACGAAGCTGTTAACTCTGGCTGATTAAAGTGCTCCTAAAAGTGTTCGATCCAACGCCCCAAACATTTTGATAAGCTTTGGATTGACTACCCACTCTCGTCGCGTATGGTTACACTAACACCAGGTTTCCTGCTGCCGATTTCCCGTAACACTAAATAACGTAAGATAGCTACCAAAAGCAGCTGCAGAGACCAATGCACCTGCCTTACGAATCGAGTCAGAGCAACTAAGTCCATTTTCTAGCAGTTGTAAACAGGTATCATCAGATGTGAACACTGCAACGGTTGCGCTAAATTTGCTGCAAAAACCAAGTGATCGTTTTCTGATAAAGGTTCCAAAATATGAAAGTCAAACATGTGTTATTCCTAACTTGACAGAATTGAGAACGGTGAGTAGTTAGAGATGCAGGCAAGCGTATCCGAAGACAATTAAAATCACACACACAAAGGAGGGACTAGCGGTCCAGAGTTGCGACAGCCAACTCAAACAATGGCTCGGGGGCCGCGATAAACTGCACCAAAGAGCAGCTCTCCGAGTATGAGAGGGTAGAGTACCACAGCTGTTCATGTAGGCCATAGTTGCATCGGTTTGCGATCACAATTCACCTGCAATCAGCAGAAGA